TTAATGCTATTAATATAATTGACCCCGTGGACACAGAGAGAGAGCTCATTAGCCCTATGGACAGACAGAGAGAGCTAACTAGCCCTATGGACAGACAGAGAGAGCTCACTAGCCCTATGGACAGACAGAGAGAGCTCACTAGCCCTATGGACAGACAGAGAGAGCTCACTAGCCCTATGGACAGACAGAGAGAGCTCACTAGCCCTATGGACAGACAGAGAGAGCTCACTAGCCCTATGGACAGACAGAGAGAGCTCACTAGCCCTATGGACAGACAGAGAGAGCTCACTAGCCCTATGGACAGACGGCTCACACCATGACGAACAGTATAAGGAGTGGGAATTTTGTACTCGTAACATTATTATTTTTCAACATGTAATAAACATGGCTATTACCGACAAGTAAGTGTACTAAAGTACTAAAGATTAAATATATATATATCAACAGATAACATGTTGTGACGCCACACCATTATATACAGTTACTATGCACCTGAAGATCTTATACAGTGAAAGCGCTAGTGCAAAATGTAACGTCTTTCTTCTTTTGTCAAAAATCATTTATATATATATATAATGGGAGTATGCATGGGTGACAATGATTTTCAAGCAACCACGAAGAGATACAATGGTTTTTGTACTTAGTTGGTAGTTGTTTTCAGCAGACGCCTTAATGTGAGAAAATGTCAAATTTTCAACACATTGTGTTTAAGCAATTACTATGAGATATTAACCGTCACTTTAGTTATATAGGTATTTTAACACAAGCATTGTCGTAGTCTTGTCGCCGATTGCTTTCAGCAAAAGCTTTGATGTGAAAAAAAATCACGACGATATCAGCATACTGAGTGGTATTACAAAAGACATAAAATATGTGGCTATATATACTAAAAGTGCACGGACTTGTTAAACTAATGTAATGAAAATTACAGCTTTATGTAGTATTTTATCATTGCATATTGAGTGTAAAATATAAAACTATTCACATAGACAGGATGCGTTTTTCTGTTATTTTTTTTTATTGATTTTTCCAATTTCTTCCTTTCGTTCACATTTATTCGTAAGTGTTTCCTCGTCACTACAAGTTTGGGCTTTATAATGAACAAGCATGGAACACCTATGTTAATGAATATATGTTTTATAAGCTGGTGTAAGTTGAGTACAAACATTGTTTATATGCACACTAGCCTGATTGTCAAATTTATCGTGTCTCCTAAAGGCCGTAATAGTGGAAGTTAAACTTGATAAATAAATGAATAAATAAAGTCAACTTTATATATTGAAGTGTTATTACTGATCTTTACAAAAATGAATATTTGTTTATTAAAAAAATGTATGATCGACAGCTGAAGTTTGTTGGTTTAGAACACAAAATACCCTAAAGCGCTCGCTGATCTCGCGAATAAACGTTAGTCCCACTAGTCGATGTTACACAAACTTCAGAAAGCCGTCACGAATGAAATTGTACAAAGTACATGTAGACTAGGTGCGTTTACATGTACAGTGTGATATAGTTTACACCATTATGCTTAAAGGTGCAACAAAAGCATGCACAGCATTCAAACATGGTTTTCATCAATTGATCATCTCGTAAAGACTCTTAATATTAATACCTAAGATAGGATACATTTGTTGGGTAAATAGCTTGGCAAAACACTATGTAGTAGCTATCAAGAAGTCATCCTCGATGCCTCAAAATTGCTAACTGTACCCCAAGATCATGTTAAGCAAATTTGAAGGTTCTATGTGGGACACCTTGTGGCCAAGACCAGTTTGATCCTATGATGTACATCAAATGAATCTCGAGTTTAATTTTTCCACGATATGTACCAGGAATGCATGGAACGATAGTTAGCGTAACCCCTGAAGTAGTGAGGATGCTGAGCTGCATTGGTCAGTTGTAATGACCGTTGCCCAAACCTGGCAAGCTGGAACATTTGATACCTATATTTTTGTATGAAAACTGTTTCCAGCTGGAAGTACATTCAAATAGTCTCGACTTTACATCAAGACAAGGAATATGTAATCTGAGAATATCTTATCATAATTGTTATACCCCAAACTGGAAAGGTCAAATATGTTTGCTGACTTTTACGAAAATCTAGAGAACTGAGTAGTTTTTCCAAACTTTTTACTCTTTATTCATGGTTGTCGTTAAGCACTATACAAGAGAGGTAATAAGTTAAAATCCTATCACTTATTTGTGTTTAATGGATTAATACTAAAATTTTCCTCATCATTGTTCAACTTCTTTATCAGATCCTGATATGTTTTGGGGTGATCCTGTTCCTTCAGGTCTTCTGAACTATCCCAACTTGCTTTAAATGTATTTTGTTCCAAATATTCGTAATTTGTTATACTCTCTATAGTTTTGTTGTCATCTAATTTTTTGGCTGCGTGATCAAATGTGTGTGTGTGTGTGTGTGTATGTGTGTGAAGGTGAGTATGGGTGCGTGCGTGCGTGCGTATGCGTGTGTGCGTGCGCATGGGTGTTTTTGGGCATCATACTAAACCGTTTAACTGCATCATCAACGTTCAGGAAATGGGTGATGAATCTTTACATTTTTAATTGCAGACGGCAATATATGGATCTTTGTTTCCTTTTTAAATGTATTCCTAGACTTTTTGATTGTTCGTATTTAGTAGAAAAGGCATTTTAGTCCCTAGAAGATGTTTACGTTCCTCTGGTGTTTTACAATTTGGGTGTTCACCTAGTCTTAGAAAGTTTGGTACTATTAACCGTGCAGTGAATTCTTTTAACAGACACGCCTGTAAACTAGGTGGTATATCTAATTGTACTTTGCCTTATTTTAAATCTCGCCTCAAGGTAATATGTTTTAGATGATCATTACATTACATGTCTTTCTCTTTATCTTACTAATGCTCCACCCATCTTACTAACTGTGTATATGTCTGTATCTGTGATATTTTAATATACCTTTGCTTCCATTGTTATCAATTTTGTAACTGGACCCTCGGGTCTATTGGTTTGAATTGAAATATATATCATATTTGTATCCCCTATTATAAAAGTACAAATATGATAAGACACAGGTTATCACAGAAAAGTCCTTTAAACACTGTACGTTTAAACATAACAGGCACCTGCACTATGTGATATAACAGAACAGTGTTTAGCATGACGAAAAAACATTTATTGCCCTGAATATAATTTCCATAAACCTAGGATATTTTTATCTGAATGATATTCCATTAAATTATCATTCTATCACATATCTCTTTTAGGTTTCTGTTTTATGACATATGCCTTTTACTATATGAAATATCTCCATGAATTAATGATACATCTGTTATGATAGATAAAAAGCATTGCCTAAGAGCGAGCGTGATCATTACTGTGACAAGTAAGCTGTTTTCAGTAAAAAAAAATGTCTTCGTATTTTCTCAGACTAAGGACATCCGTGGAAACGTCAATGTTTGTTAGCTTGATGCTACATCGCGTACAATATATACTCAGTAATCCTAACAGTTACTAACAAAGATATATCTCGGTACGGATTGGGTTACTTGCCTTAGTACAACTATTATCCGTTCTGCACGTCTCTATACTTCTATTCTATACTGTATTTATCATCATGTCTCACAATCTAAATAAGAAATTAGATAATAAGAAAAAGTGTTTTGATCCTCATTGGTTAAAACACATCTCCTAAGGTGTTGGCGTAATGGGTTTCAAATTCTATGGTTGTTTTATTTATTTGAATTAAGTTGAACCTTTTAGCGTTTTCATTTCCACATGAACGCTTGAATGGATACAGGACAGGATAAGATTGGATTAATCGACTGATAAGAAGTTTACAGTCTATGCTGCTTGACGTACCGGAGAGTCAGCTGTCGGAGACTGGTCAAAGTTTGTTGGATTTGTTGAGTTTTATTTTCAGTCACTTTGAATTTACACGTTTACAATACCTTATAGCGCTCACTGTAATGGCAATTAATCAGTAGGATATATATTAGGTCCAACATTGAATATGACGCCGCAAAATTAGATAAAACACCATTACATAAAACACCATTAAATATACCACCATTAGATATAACACCATCAGATATAACACCATCAGATATAATACCATCAGATATACCACCATCAGATATAACACCATTAGATATACCACCATCATATATACCACCATTAGATATACCACCATCAGATATACCACCATCAGATATACCACCATCAGATATACCACCATCAGATATACCACCATTAGATATAACACCATTAGATATACCACCATCAGATATACCACCAACAGTTTTCGTGAGGAATACTACACCATTCCATCTCAAACACCTTTGTCAAAAAGTATTACCCAAGACATTAATCTGATTTCGAGTCTCGTCTGCATTTTACGTTAGAATTGTTGAAGGATTATAAAAGACTTGAAATAAAAACTATTCCAAAATTCACATTTCATCATTTATACCCATGTATATGTAATCATCGTCAATGCGCAATTGTGACATCAGAATTATATAACTATATGGCATCAAGCAATGGCAGATTAGAGCCAAGGTCATTTTGTAACGTAGTTCTTGTAGTAGCTGATGGTGTCCCCAATGAACAACATACGAGAGGACAGTCACATGCCATATAGAGTAATAAGGGCAGAGTGACTTGCCCATGCATACAAATCTCCGACTTAAAAGACAATACATCTGTAAAATAATGAACAACTTGGTAATGTTGTCTTGTACCTGTAAACTACATTTTTACATATATTTCAAATGCTTGGATATATCTTGCTTATACAAACTCAATTCACACAATTAAAAACATAGAACAAACGCAATAGCGGATTCACACTGATATGAAAATATTATAAAAATGTTATCAACCCTTCTATACATTAAATGCTTTGCCACTATGTTTTACTGAATTGATGACATATATGTTCAGTGTAGTTTCCTATGAACCTCATCAAACCATCAAACAATCAGTCATTTCGCTCATGCCTGAGTGTTCGGAACAGCAGGTCATCTAATTCTCATAATAGTTTCCTCCAGCTGAACGACGTTTGGTTCACAGAACGCTGCCATGCCATAATTATTATCGTTAACACCTATTATCCCATTTATGTTGAAATATGAACATTCGTTAAACCACCACCCAGAGCCGTGAGACGAACAACCATGAATACCCGGTTTATCAGGAGTAGAAAATTTTGACCCGTTATTATACATAAGTCGAGAATATGATGTGCAATTCACAGAGTTGTCATTGGCAACCAATAACTCGTACGATGTAGTAGCATTCTTCACTTCAAAGTGATCGTAGCTGTACCGTATGGAACTACCTTGTTTTCCTATCATATCAATAACGACATGAACCCCCTGTGTTGTAAGCTCGTGAATGTATTCCAATCCAAGCCAGAAATCGCCACGTAGATCACCGAATCCGGTGACGTAATCTGTCCAACTTCGATTGAAACTGACTGATCCGTGTAGCCTGTGTTGAAGTACTGTCCATCCACCTCCATCCGTCATGTTGCAGACTACGTTCAGTGGTTGGTGTGCGGACGGGGCTATAGTATACACACCTGAGGTACGGTGTCCACCGTTGTACAGCTCAGCACAACCTTCATGAAGGAAAACAGAATCAGTCATACCTAGAATGGATTCCATCCTTACTTTTGATACTTGCCTTAACTTCTTTAATAATGGTGGTGAACGGATGATGTGAGGGCGAGAATCTTGTCATATGTACCAGGTATTATTCCTCCTCTGACCAGAAGTAAGGACTCTGATGGGGCGAACCAACATTTTTGAGCAATGTAAAAGATACTTTGGTGACCTTGCTTTGAGAAATATCTTTACCTGTACAGAGCCCACGGGAACAATTGCGTTCTTCTCTTGATATACCCTCACATGTTCCATTGAAATGTGAGCATGATCTGGTTCGAGTCTGTTGTCCTCGTCCACCGCAGCTAGTTGTCGAACATGTACTCCAAGTACTCCAGGAACTCCAATAGGAGGTCCCTGTAAGTATTGCAAGAGAACTTAACATTAAATCAGGTTCCAATATATTACAGTAACATTTGACTTCAAGACATATAAAATACTTCATACATGTATGTTTATATCAGAATACCTCACACAGTGATCTCATTGAGAAATATTCCATTTGTTTGCGCGATATGAAGCTAGATGTGTTTGATGCTCGTTAGTTTGCCTGTTAGTTCCGTCATTGTGTATCTTCTTCTCATTTGAGAACGTGACATTACTTAGGTGGATTGACCAATGATTACATGGCGGTTGTCGTCGGTGAAGACGCTTACTCCTCCGGAACATCTGCTCTTATTCTACTTTTTCAGGAGTTTCGTGCAAATCTTTCATTTGTTCATATTTTACACTGGTTTTAGTGACTTTAGGTTTGGATTATGATTCTGTTGCTGATGGCTTATCTTATGAATACATTCATCGGATACCTTTCATTCGAGATATGTAATATTTGACTACATACCAGTTATCGTTTTAGCTACAAGCCAGATATCAGAGATGTACATATTTTATAATGTGTTTTCGATTAAGCAAATGTTGCTCCCTACATTAACTTAGATAGATATAACATCTGACTAAATATATTCGTACATGTAGCTCTTTACTCACACATATCTATATTGATCTGTCACAATATTTAAAATACAATAAAACCGGTTCACTGACATCCTGTCAGTGTCATACATTGACACACCTTGTGATTGCTGAATCGGACAGGCCTGGTTACAGAAGTCGTCAGTACAACATCTATGACAAGGTCGGGAAGATCTGAGGAGTATAGAAATATCTCTACCCTCTACAGGCCCTTGGTGGGAACACTCCTGTCAATAACACAATAATCGTTTATTCTTTCCAAATGAAGAAAATGACCGAGAAGTAAAAACAATATATTCAGACAAATAGAGAAATTTGAAGAGAGAATTTAAAGTTGACTTCTCCAGTATCTATATCAGATTCAGTGTGGCGTTATTCTAATTAGCTATTACGCATATCGTCAGTATCAAACTGCACATTTCAGTGTGAGTGTATACATTGTATGTAAGGCTGCGTGGGTGTATATGTCTGCATGCGTGCGTGCTAGCGTGAAATGTTTTCTGCCCACAAAGGGAAATTAAACTTGCTGTATTTTCTTTCTAAAGGAATAGATATTACCGGCTACACATTTATCATTACACAAAGTTATGCATGAATGGATATCAATCATCATCAAGATGTAAAGATTTAAAAACTTACCCCTTTTGGTCGGCATCCACTTGTAAAACGAGGTCCTGACGAAAACGTCTCATCGATTGTACAATACTAGGACAAATCGTAACGTAGAACATAAATGATGTATTAAAACACAAACAACACAACTATAACTCATACATACTCAAAACTATAACATCACTATATGTAACGTATGTGTTCATCACATCATACATACTCAACACTATAACACAACTTTAAATAATGTATGTGTTCATCACATTATACATACTCAACACTATAACATAGCTATAGATAATGTATGTGTTCATCACATTATACATACCCAAAACTATAACATAGCTTTAAATAATGTATGTGTTCATGTTCCATGAGACATGTTTTTATTTATCAATTATCACAATTACATATATATATATATTTGTTCGACTTGTATAATATGTAAATCTTACTTCGTTTCTTTCACAAATAGTTAGCCGATCACAGTAGCTGGAACTGGGCCTCTGTTGACACTGGTAACAGTACGGTCCGCGGGTTTCCCGTGGCGGTGGCCCTGAGAAGGTACACAAACAAAGATTTACATGGCGGCTATCGTCGATAAAACAGAAAACGCATAATCTTTCGGTACACCTGGTCTTGCACCTTGCACTTTTTCAGGAATCTCCGTGTAAATCGTTATTTTGTTCATATTTTGGCCTTATTTCATTGAATTTGATCAGGGATAATGATTTTATACGAGTGTTGGTACTTTCTTGATGTCTTCTTACTTATGAAACAAACGTGATAGACATTACATTTGAATAATGCAGTCGAGTTGTATAAAAGGCTGCCATTTTCTCTTCTACTGCAAATTTCATAACTATACATTTGAAAAAATCATTAAATAGACAAAGAATATAAATTTCCTGCTACGTTGATATTGTTTTAATTTCTTTAATACTTTGGTTAGTTATAATATATAAAACTGAAAATAAAATAATACAGAAGGCCAAGGATCCCTAACATTCTGACTATAAACAACTAAAATGATATAACGACATTAAGGAAAGTGGCAACAATTACTTAATGATTAGAAAAGTGCTGAATATTAGCAACAAAATCAGCAAATGCTACAACGCTTTCTTCGTTTCTAAATAGCCCCGTTAAATTTCAGCTCAACGGCAGTAGTGGAACTGGAGCAGAAGCTTAAGATGGATTTAAAAAAATGGCGGTCATGGCGGCCATATTGAACTTTGGACTGACACGATTTATTACAATACATGGTTACGGTCATCTCAGGATAAATTTAGTCAGTATCGAGCAAATGTCTTTGAAGGAACTTGTAAAGTTTAACACAGGGTTTGTTCCAGAAAGGCTATGATTTGGCAATCGTTTTACAATATGGCCACCGTGGTTACCATATAAAAAATTTGACTAGGCCGAAAAATAACGACACTTAATCGGCTTCATTTCTATAACATATCTCCACAAAGTTTGAGCTCAATGCTATAAGTCACATTGGGAAAAGTGTAAAGTGTGATTTTCAAAATAGTTGCCATTTCAGGCAAATTTGAACAAAACTTCTTTCGGCTTTTTGCCATTCATTTCAGCACATTTTCTCAGCTAAATAGCGCCAATCGAACAGGAGAAGGAATTTAAAATGTATTTTTCAAGATGTCATAGCGAACATATTGGTTTTCGGGTCCAACAAACATGACAACGCCTTTTCACCTATCTCGAGATCATTACAGGGAAGTTAGAGCTAAATCACACAGGTGGAACTAGAAAAGAGTGTTAAAATATACAAAGTTCACAAAGCATGGAGACAGTGAACGACAACGAACGATATAAGGTGAATGCGAAGTGATAAAAAATGCGAACCTGTATCCCCACAGCCCTGGTTATTACACATATCTCCATCACAACACTCCACACAAGTCACTTGTCCATACGGTGGTGCTCCGTTTACATTCGTACCTAGGGAACAACTCTGTAACACCGCAAATTATGTTCTAACTAACCAAAAGTAAAGCAGATCTGCTAATGATATGTCACCCTAGGTATCACTTGGTGTGATAATTACATGTGTCCCCCTAAGTATCACCTGGTTTGATAATGATATGTCGCCCTAAGTATCACTGGGTTTGATAATGATATGTCACACTAAGAATCACTTGGTTTGATAATGATACGTGTCACCTTAAGTATCACTTGGTTTGATAATGATATGTCACACTAAGTATCACTGGGTTTGATAATGATATGTCACACTAAGAATCACTTGGTTTGATAATGATACGTATCACCCTAAGTATCACTTGGTTTGATAATGATATGTCACACTAAGTATCACTTGGTTTGATAATGATATGTCACCCTAAGTATCACTTGGTTTGATAATGATATATCACACTAGGTATCACTTGGTTTGATAAACATATGTCACCCTACGTATCACTTGGTTTGATGATAATAGGTGTCACCCTGTGAATCACTTGGTGTGATAATGATATGTCACCCTAAGTATCACTTGGTTTGATGATGATATATCACCCTAAGTATCACTTGGTTTGTTAATTACACTAACTCATTCTTCTATGCCTGTTGACTACACCATTCTTCAGTTACATTCACAAACGTTTTTACTTTTTTCATCTCAAATTTACATACTATTATTGCTTTTATGTTTTATGGACTAAGCGGAATTAAATCAGGAGAGTGTCGCTTAAACTTAACCTTGACGCATATAATAAAATCATTCATTATATTACCTACCTTGTTGCTGACACAACCGGACGTATACTCATCCAGGCCGTTATTTGTACGGGTCTTTTGTATATAGCATTTCTGAATAAAAAAAAAATGCAATAAAACTTCAGGATATTCTTAGCGAAAATAATACTTAATGAACGCATGAATAAAAAACAGTATGCAATGAAAGAAGAAAACGAAGCACGATCGGATATTTCTTTTTATATTTTAAACTTTAGCACGCAAACAATCACAGGAAATAAAATTAGCTATCCTATCAGGGAACGAAATCAGTCTTCTAGGCAACAAAACCATTGTCGTGGCAACAAATCGTGGGTCAAAGAAACATTACTAGACGCCAAGAATAAAAAACGTTGTCAAGCGGAAACAAAAGTGATATATGCAGAAATCAAAACAAGTATTAATATCAAACAAAAACAGTTGTCATAGAAACAAAACCAGTTGAAATATTATTATTATCATTCAATGAAATATTATCAATGAGGCGGAAAGCTCCCTGCAAACAATTTGTACACTTAATCTAAACTATGGTTAAACACTAGATTACCTCTCCGTCTGCACACTGTGTAAGTTGATCACAAAACTCTAGACGAGATGTAGAGGAGCACGCCAAGCACTGTGGACCGGCTGTAGAGGCTAGAAAACGAAGCATAATATACGCAATATGACCGGCTGTAGAGGCTAGAAAACGAAGCATAATATACGCAATATATTGCTTTCAATTGACATCCACATGTACCTTTGATGTCCAAGGATACCTACTACACTGTACTTTCTCTGGATGGTGTGTGATGGGCCTCTCGTATGTTGTTCAGTGGCGTAGCTACTACAAGGGTTCCGCCTCAAAATAACAAGGGCTGTTCAATGGGCGATAAACCCAGCAAACAAGAGATAGCCACCTATAGTGCGGGTGTGATGATAATGTTGATATGGTTGGGGTATAAGAACATTTTTTTCAATACATGACTCTAAATTTGCTATTCAGGATTTTTGCCCCTGGTGTAGAGAAAGTGCAAAATTTATTAAACAAATGGGGGTATACTGTTTTTTATTACATGATGGTGTTTAAGTAATATTTGAGATATACTATGCATAAATTTAACGTTATCAACAGATCTGACAAAATTTCAATTTTAAGTTTGAGTGTAGAAATGCTACTTCCTTGGTACAAGATGTCGGGGACGAAATTGTCATGGTGAAAAAGAAACTTCGTTAAATCAATCAATAACTGTTATTATTTCAGCATTTCTGATTTAAAACATTATTTCAATATATCTAAATTTGTTAATTGTTTTATTTCTTCGTACCAACGACTTGTATAAAAACAGAATATCCTAAATCAACAGAATTTTCACGTAACGTCTGTCTGTCGCCCCTTCTGAATTCTCTCTTACAAAACAAGCCTCTCTGGCAATATATATCCATTGGAAGCACACCGATGTAAAAGTTACGATGTTCGTAATATGTTGATAATCGATCGTTACTGAAAGGCTGCCAGGAGTGTGAAAATTCGCCGTCGAGAAGTGTTTTAGGCAATGTCTGTCCTGTTTACATGTGTTCGTGAATCAACCTTGTGACCCAATCACCCATTGGTCGGTAGATAGAATTTGATGTTAATTTATGCAAACGTCACTTCCGAATTGGAATTCCCGTCGTATCTTTACTTCCTCACTGTTGATTGGTAAACAATTGTTTGTTGCGTTGATAATTATTAACAAGAGATCCCAGAGGGATCTTGGCGCCCACCATTTGAGGATCTGTTTTCAGTTCTTGAAGATTTGTTTATTTTTTTTTGTTCGTTACAGGTGTTGTAAATGTTCATGAACTGGTCTTCATTGAATGTACTCAATGATGGCACAAGATATTTTTATTAAGCACCTATTAGCAAATATCATTTGAAAAAGATCCCAAAGTATTATTAGATAGCAGTCAGTTACAGGTGGATAATGGACAATATGCTTGTGCTGTTTTACTGTCAACATCCAAGATATGCTGCCTGTCAGCCAAGGGAAACCAATATCTATGAAACATCAGAAGGATCCATCCAGTATCAGATATAGCAGTACAAGATTTTCTTGATTTCGGATCAGTCCAAAAAGGTATAATGCACAACTTGGAACCAAAGGTAACCTGCATATGAAATTTGAGAAAGATCCATCCAGTACTTTCCAAGAAATAGCAGTAACAAACTTTTACATCCAAAATCCAAGATGGCCACCTGCCGGCCATCTTGAATTCGAATCAGTCCAATAAAGGTACAATGCACAACTAGGGACCAAGGGGAAACTGCATATGAAATTTGAGAAAGATCCATCCAGTACTTTCTCAGAAATAGCAGTAACAAACTTTTACTTTCAAAATCCAAGATGGCCACCTGTCGGCCATCTTGAATTCGAATAAGTCCAAAAAAGGTACAATGCACAACTAGGGACCAAAGGTAACGTGCATATGAAATTTGAGAAAGATCCATCCAGTACTTTCCAAGAAATAGCAGTAACAAACTTTTACATCCAAAATCCAAGATGGCCACCTGCCGGCCATCTTGAATTCGAATCAGTCCAATAAAGGTACAATGCACAACTAGGGACCAAGGGGAAACTGCATATGAAATTTGAGAAAGATCCATCCAGTACTTTCTCAGAAATAGCAGTAACAAACTTTTACTTTCAAAATCCAAGATGGCCACCTGTCGGCCATCTTGAATTCGAATCAGTCCAAAAAAGGTACAATGCACAACTAGGGACCAAAGGTAACGTGCATATGAAATTTGAGAAAGATCCATCCAGTACTTTCCAAGAAATAGCAGTAACAAACTTTTACATCCAAAATCCAAGATGGCCACCTGCCGGCCATCTTGAATTCGAATCAGTCCAAAAAAGGTACAATGCACAACTAGGGACCAAAGGTAACCTGCATATGAAATTTGAGAAAGATCCATCCAGTACTTTCCAAGAAATAGCAGTAACAAACTTTTACTTCCAAAATCAAAGATGGCTGCCTGTCGGCCATCTTGAATTCGAATCAATCCAAAAAAGGTACAATGTACAACTAGGGACCAAGGGGAAACTGCATATGAAATTTGAGAAAGATCCATCCAGTACTTTCTCAGAAATAGCAGTAACAAACTTTTACTTTCAAAATCCAAGATGGCCACCTGTCGGCCATCTTGAATTCGAATCAGTCCAAAAAAGGTACAATGCACAACTAGGGACCAAAGGTAACGTGCATATGAAATTTGAGAAAGATCCATCCAGTACTTTCCAAGAAATAGCAGTAACAAACTTTTACATCCAAAATCCAAGATGGCCACCTGCCGGCCATCTTGAATTCGAATCAGTCCAATAAAGGTACAATGCACAACTAGGGACCAAGGGAAAACAGCATATGAAATTTGAGAAAGATCCATCCAGTACTTTCCAAGAAATAGCAGTAACAAACTTTTACTTCCAAAATCAAAGATGGCTGCCTGTCGGCCATCTTGAATTCGAATCAATCCAAAAAAGGTACAATGTACAACTAGGGACCAAGGGGAAACTGCATATGAAATTTGAGAAAGATCCATCCAGTACTTTCTCAGAAATAGCAGTAACAAACTTTTACTTTCAAAATCCAAGATGGCCACCTGTCGGCCATCTTGAATTCGAATCAGTCCAAAAAAGGTACAATGCACAACTAGGGACCAAAGGTAACGTGCATATGAAATTTGAGAAAGATCCATCCAGTACTTTCCAAGAAATAGCAGTAACAAACTTTTACATCCAAAATCCAAGATGGCCACCTGCCGGCCATCTTGAATTCGAATCAGTCCAATAAAGGTACAATGCACAACTAGGGACCAAGGGAAAACAGCATATGAAATTTGAGAAAGATCCATCCAGTACTTTCCAAGAAATAGCAGTAACAAACTTTTACTTCCAAAATCAAAGATGGCTGCCTGTCGGCCATCTTGAATTCGAATCAATCCAAAAAAGGTACAATGTACAACTAGGGACCAAGGGGAAACTGCATATGAAATTTGAGAAAGATCCATCCAGTACTTTCTCAGAAATAGCAGTAACAAACTTTTACTTTCAAAATCCAAGATGGCCACCTGTCGGCCATCTTGAATTCGAATCAGTCCAAAGAAGGTACAATGCACAACTAGGGACCAAGGGGAAACTGCATATGAAATTTGAGAAAGATCCGTCCAGTACTTTTCCAGAAATAGCGGTAACAAGAATTGTTTACGGACGGACGGACGGACCACGGACCACGGACGCAGGGCGATTTGAATAACCCACCATCTATTAGATGGTGGGCTAAAAATCTTGTCAGATCTATGATTGACTTGTCTACTTAATTATCCAAGCCCCATCTAGAGTGCGTCCTTCAATGCAATTTCTTTTTCAAGACCACTGCTAAAAACTTGCTTCACAGATTAAACAAACAAGAATTCTAGTACATAATGCTTTTGGTATGGAGGAGTATTTATCTAAAAATTGTTAAATCTAAATCTAAAAATGCCAAAAAATATCAGAAGTAACATATTATATATCAGTTTTCCAAAGCTTCAAAACTCGTTAAATGAATACCTAAAATTTTGTACTTGTGTATATCAAGCAACCTATATCCAGTTAGTATTGCTTCTGTTATGTAGAAGTTCTCGTGTTTAAATTTGATCTCCTATTAAGTTTTGGTTCAAATTAACATGACATCCTTATTATTTATTTGCCTTTTCAGACAGCAAGACCGTGTTTGAAAACTGTCTGATAAACCAGTTTAATGATCAGTGATCAATAAAAGAGAATGTATTCCTTTAACTGAGTATATGTAGAATGTAAGTGTCAAATTAATTCCTCATTAGAAATGTCTGTCCTGTTATGTGAAGAGGGGGTGTCTTGGAAATTAATAATAACAATATATCTAGGAGTGGCATTTAAGAATTTTCAGTAATTTTAAATTACTGAACACGAGAGAATTTCAACACAAGAAGAAAGAATACTTGAATATTCGTCTACTTCATAGTACTGAAATAATTATATTCAATACTTTTAATTGCACAAGACAATTATGACAATGAGAACTTGAGTCGTTATATTGGCTTTATTTTCTAATATTAATTATTTCTCTCATTTTCATGTCAACAAGCACAAAGCATAATATAGTTCTCAAGCTGTTTTAATACAGTTTGTTTGTGTATGTAAATATACCAGGCCATCAAAATAACAGGTTTGATACGTCTGTCCTGTTATGTGACTCGAGGATGGTGCATTTGAAAATGCTGGCGACATAAAAATAATTGATATATTATCCTTTCATTGCTTATTTCCAATGGCAGACATGCTTATCTTTTGAAAATATGCAATATTAAGCTGCTACACTAAAATAAATATTTGGACTGTCTGTCCTGGTAAAAATCCTGAATAGCAAATT